AGGAAAGGAGGCATACCTATATGCCGCACTTGGTAAACAAAACCGTGGCCCAGTACATCTTATCCACTAACAATAGATATCTTCTAGCATAGTGTGAATAAAAACATACTAGAGATTTCATGTAAGTCAGTTTCAGGAAAACAAAATTGATTTTATTTATCCTAATTGTAGGTAAGCATTTTATAGCTTTTTTACTAAAACTAAATGTTATTATTGCCAAAACTATCATTTTATACTCAGAAGCAGAACTCATTGAACAATTCTGAAGTTGCTTTTGAAAACTAATCTTTCTATAATTATTAATGAATTAGTCATTATGGCTTTACTAGAGTGTTAAGGAGTAGTTTTTGGCATATATGCCTTCCTGCATATATGATGTTTGTTTTGGTCTTTGATCCTTGAAGCTGTTCTTTCTTTTTAGGAATGAAATTATTTATAAACATTAAAATAATTCAAACTATGCTAACTGAAAATTTATATCAGTATCTTCCATTTGCATCAAATATTTTTAATCGTACTGTAAAGTCCCAACAAAATTTTTTTAGTTGAAGCGCTCCTTGACCCCCAAATAAATTCCATCTGTGTTTATTCTGATAGACAAGAATATCATTGGGTCGGTTGGAAGACTTTCTCAACACTGAGGAGCTTCTTCCTCAAAATATTGAAACAAACTACATAGGAGGTCAGCATTTTCTCTGCCTTCAATATTTATTTGACTTCTGGGTTGAAGATAATTGGCTCTAAAATGCACCATTGTATTTATTTTTCTTCACAGATCATGCCATTGGTTTTACAAATGCTTCCTTCTCCTGGGATAAAACAGGGATTCCAGTACTTAAAAAGTAAGTCATAATTTGGGAAAAATTAAAAACAAAAAATATTTTAGCATTGAATTCTATGTTCCATATTTTTATTTCTTGGAGTTAAAAAAAATTTAATGTTTATTCATTTTTGAAAGGCAGAGAGACAGAGCATAAGCAGGGGTGGGGCAGAGAGAGTGGGGGACACAGAATCTGAAGCAGACTCCAGGCTCTGAGCTGTCAGCACAGAGCCCGACGCGGGGCTCAAACTCACGAACTGTGAGATCATGACCTGAGCTGGAGTCGGCTGGTCAACCAACTGAGCCACCCAGGTGCCCCATATTTCTTGGAGTTTTTAAAGCAGAAGATGAATATATTGAAATTTACAAGGCTATTTTTTTAGATCTCTCACAATACCTTTCATTTTTATAGTTTTTTTTCCCTCTCTTGCTTTCTATTCATTTCCTCTGTTTCCTCTGTAGCATTTGTTGTTCACAGTTTGAAAGGTTGGGTTTTCATAGAATAGTATAGTCTTATATGAATAGAAGCAATTTCAAGGATGATGCTCTAATTTATCTAGGAATATACATTGAAAACTGTAACAAGAACTTCCTATATCACTCTCTCCTTTTCTTGTAATGCAGCTTGAACATAAAGATTCCAGAAGGAGGTTTAGTGGCTGTCATAGGGCAAGTTGGATCTGGAAAATCATCTGTGCTTTCTGCCATGCTTGGGGAAATGGAGAAACTTACAGGAGTTGTTCAAAGAAAGGTAGAGCCAACAATACATTCATTCTCTATCTCCTAGTGTAATAGGCCATAGCCAACACATGGTTAGTGTCCTAAGAATTTATCAAATCAAATTGAAGATGCAAGTATGTAATGGGCATTTCTAGTTTGTAACAAACATTTCAATTTCCACAAAAATTGATTAGCTATGGATGGCTTAGTAACAGCATTCTGTCCTCCAAATACTTTAGCAAATCATTTATGAATGCTTATGGTAATTGTTTGATGATATTAACTGAATTGCAACCAATTATAGAGAAACTAATGTGATTTATATTTTAATTTGATTTGCTTTCTAATTATCATCCATTGCAAAGTTCCCTAAGTAATTACAGCCACATTTCTAAGAAGTCTTGTAGTTGCTCATGGGTAGGATTTTTGACCTAGAAAAAAAATCAGAAAAATAATAATATTAATAGCTTACTTTTAAATTTCAGCCTTGGACTAGGGAGAGGACTACTCCAAGCCTTTTGTTCTATTCTTAAAGGTCAATAGGAATAAGAATTCAACAGGTTCTTAATCAGCTGTTTCTTTTTTGAAACATTAGACTATCTAATGAGTTTTTCCTTAGGTTTAACTAGCTCTTGGATAAAATACTAACCTAATACTAACCTACTCCTCACTTCTGATAAAATGGAGAAGTTCTATGGATGTGAGACCAGTTTCTTCACAGTTTTCTCTCTAGGAAGAATCAATTCCAACTCTTTTATTTTTCTTCATAATATGTATTTCCTCATATCCTTTTATCTTTCCTGATTCCAGCCCTCCAATGAATAGTTCTACATTTATTCTTCTCTCTCAGCATTATTACTGTTACTTATTTTAGGATCAACTATGATGTCTGAGACTTTTTCTGATACAATTATACTGAAATGAATAGCCCTACTTTTTAACCTTAAGTATATTGTGTTTGTAGCCCTGTGCTCTTCATAACAACTGCAGTCAGCCTTTTGTCTATAGTTGAAGATGATTGTACTATATCCTAGGCCAATAGTGTCCTTTAAAAATATTATGATTATCATATTGACTTTATTTTCATTTAGTCTCTTCAGCTATTTTTACCAAGCAATTATTGCACACATACTGTGTTCTTGATACTTAGTACAAGCAAAATAAACACGAGTATGACATACCCCTCTTTTTACAGAGTTCATAGTCCGATGAGAGAGATACTAAAATTAATTATGACGAGTATTTAAATCAGACATAAACAAATGGATCAAAGTATAAAAAACAACAGATTCTGCCTTGAAGAGTTAGAAAAATTATAGAGAGGAGGTAGCCTTTTATTTGATCTTGAAAAATAGGAATTAATCAAGATAACAACAATATCAATTTTGGGTTTCATCTAATGCTTTAATGTGCAAAGACTTAGCCTGGTTCTTGGCAGAGTCAGATAGCTCCCTGTGAATTTTAATGGTTATTGTTATCTTTACTATGATTGTTGAGACTCTCATGGTAAGATTTAAAGATTATTTCTGATACCTTTGAGGGTTTGAAATTAAGAAAATGTTCATGGTTATGCAAGAAACCATAACAATGCTGTTCCTAATTATAAAGCTGAGAGAAAACCCTTTGTTTAAATTAAGCTAAGCTTGTGGAAGAGAGCAGATATTGTCTGTCAGTATAGTTGGCCACTTTGTCCTTCAGAAAGTTCTTTGGTCTGGAGCAGTGGCAGGACATGAGGTGTCATATATGAATTATTTCCCAAAACTTTTTAAATACTAAATTTATAACTATCATTCTTCTTATCTCTGATTTAGTAATAATAATTATAACAATAGACGTGACACTTTGTGTTTACAAGGTGCTTTTGTGTTTTATCTTTCTGTTCCTCAAGGTTTCACATGAGAATTTTTTGAGGAATATCATGTTACGATGTTCAACCTCCGGTCTCCTGGTTCTCAGTATCAAAGGTTCACACCAGGCACTATTTATTCAGAGTATTCAGTGTTTGGTGTTGTTTGATGGAACATTACAGATTTGGAAGACCATTTTTGAATTAGCAAATCTTCTATTGTGGTTTTATTATTAAGAATAAAATGAAACAAAAACCCATTTTCATTTGTGTATAAAATTAAAATACTAGTATAAAAATTAAAGGAAAAACTTACACCTCTGTGAAAATGGATCAACTCTTCTGTAGTTCCAGTTATACCAGCACATCGAGTCTATACCTGTCAATGTAGTATTTAGTTTCTGTTTTATATTTTGTGCCATTTTTTGCTGTTCTTCAGCCTTTTTCTCCTGTGTTTTTCATCCTCTTTCCCCTTATCTTGCCGAATACATAGCAAGTGTTCAAAATCTTTATCACTTGAGAATTGATTTAATATTATTCTAATTAAAGGTTATTCAAGAGCAGTCACCTTTGTGTTCAAGATCAAGTCGGATCAGAATTACATTGTTTTGGATCAAAAGCCACTCCATGTCTTACATGCTCAAAAAAGAAGAATTAAAGTTAATCTTGGATCTTTAAAGTACCTGATAGAAATCAAAATGTTAGTAGTTATATACATACGCATAAGTTCATAGGTCAAAAACTACGTTCAGTGTTTTGCATTATTGTACAGCACACAGCAGTCAAAATAAATTCTTTATTTATTTATTTTTAAAAAAAAATTTTTTTTTTTCAACGTTTATTTATTTTTGGGACAGAGAGAGACAGAGCATGAACGGGGGAGGGGCAGAGAGAGAGGGAGACACAGAATCGGAAACAGGCTCCAGGCTCTGAGCCATCAGCCCAGAGCCTGATGCGGGGCTCGAACTCACGGACCGCGAGATCGTGACCTGGCTGAAGTCGGACGTTTAACCGACTGCGCCACCCAGGCGCCCCAAAATAAATTCTTTAAAATCAATGTTTGGATAGAGTCCATGGGGTAGATTGAAAGGTAAGTCTCTAGTTCAAATACTGTGGGTCCTTTCTAAGAAAAGAAGGGTTATTTAAAAGGATATTTTATGCAGCAGACTGTCATATATTCAGGAATCATTTTGAGACATAAAATCATCAAAAAATAAACTTAGGAACAATGAGTATGTGGAAGACACAGTTGTGCCACCTAGATCCCCCTTCTAGGAAGGGCTTGCCTCCCAGCTGTGGGAATACATATAATATGCAAGCCAGCTCATTCAGGGTTGGCCTGGCTAAGGCCCCACTCCTGAAGGTCAGGCCAATTTAGCCTAACACAGAACAACTCTGATGGATAATACTCCTCTATGTCTCTCTGGGGGGTTGGTCAAAACCTTGTGGGATCTGTATCACAGTGTGACTTTTCCATCTACCCAATCCTCCTACCCTGTTTTCTTCCACAAGCATTGATCCCAAGTGAGCAACCTGTACTTCAGGCTTAGTGTTATGGGCCAAACCTCCCGCCCCCAAATAGATATTTGGAAGTCCTAATCCCCAGAATGTGACTGTATTTGGAGAGACGGTCTTTAAAGAGGCAATTAAATTAAAATAAGGTCAGTAGGGTGGGCCCAATCCAATATGACTGATGTTCTTACAAGAAGAAATTAAGACACACATACTCACACGGAGAGAAGGCCATGTGAAAAGTCAAGAAGGGAATCATCTACAAGCTAGAGATTTAGGCCTCAGGAGAAATCTTGCTGACAGCTTGTCAGACTTTTAGCCTCCAGAATTGTGAGAAAAGAAATTTCTGTTGTTTAAGCAACTTAGTCTGTGGTACCTTATAATGGCTGCTGGAGCTAATACACTCAGCCTCTACTTCCAGAAAACTCCACCAAAGACAGCTAACTTTGAGAGAAACTACAGAGAAAGTAAATAAAAAAAGCACAAAAGTAACTCCTTTGAAAGGGCCTATAATAAACATATATAAAATTAAAATGCAAATAGGATATATTTATATTTAAGAAATAACCTAGTTCTGTAAAAATTCAGTTTAAAGTTAAAAGAAAACAAAACCATGGACTAAATATGTTTATGTTCCTTTAATGTGGTACATGCAATGTTTTTTCTTTTCCCTTGTTAGGAGTGTTTCTTTTATTTCTTTCCTTTTTAGGGTTCCGTGGCTTATGTTGCCCAGCAGGCCTGGATTCAGAATTGCATTTTACAAGAAAACATTCTCTTTGGCTCCACCATGCAGAAGCAATTTTATGAGCAAGTATTGGAAGCCTGTGCTCTCCTTCCTGATTTGGAGCAGTTACCAAATGGAGATCAAACTGAGATTGGAGAAAGAGTAAGGAAAATATAATTCATCACATGCAGGAATAGAATTCCATTCAGCCATGCTAATAACATATTTATAGTCTTTTTTCTGAAGTCTTAAAGAGCTCTATACAACTATAATTTTTAAAAATCATTACAGAATTTCTATGAAAGAGATGGCGATATTAAGGACAAATAATTATCTATAATTGACTATTTGGAAAACAGATTTAAAATCAGCAGGGAATGCTGTTGTTAGTGTCCACATGGGGGAACGAAAGCCTACCAACTGGATCATCAACACTTTGTTTTTAGCTGCTCCCATAATGCTGTTCACTGTCTAATGAGTGAATGATGTTTTGTGTTTTTCCTGTATCTCTTGTGCGCAAAGTCAAGCCTAGGACAGTAGCAACAGAACACCAGTCTCCAGCGGTGGCACCGAGGCCAGGTTCTAAAAAGACTCAGACGATGCTGTCGTTAACATGCCTTCTCCATGTTTGCTCATTCTTGCTTAAGAGGATCTTGCTTCCCATATTCTTTGTTCTATTTTATTTTCATTGCGTTAATGAATAGTCATTACTCTGCCCAGTGTTTTGGAGTTTAAACAAAACAAAACAAGAGAGCATGAGCCAAAGTATGAACCCTGAGAGATTATCTCTGACCCGTGACTAAACTCTCCATTAATTAAACATGAATGCAAAAGCAGCCTCTGCCTGTGACTCATGTGTGCTGTGAAGATGGGTAAATGATCTTTACCAAGTGCTTTGAATTTCTGAAAAGAGAGTCAGCATAGTGTTGTTAGGCTTTTGTACCCCTGGCCCCAAGTTGTTTAATAGTGCTGTTACATAAATTGATAAATAAAATAATTAGAGAGCAAAAAGATAGAAAGTAGAAATATTTAAGATCTAGAATGAGGCAAAATTTACCTTTTAACGAGACTTATGTTGGCTTTGTTCATAGCCTGTTACTTTGCAGATGTATTTCCTCAAATTATTAAATAGATTTCATTTTTTTTCCACCACATCTGTGTTGTCGTTTTTTTTGTTTTTTGTTTTTTGTTTTTGGTGTCTTTGCTATCCCTTGGCAAAATGACACCATAGCTAAAATGATGCAGAAATGTGACTTCTTCAAACTTGTTAATACATACTGAATATTATGCTGATAAAACCAAACTCTAACAATATGAAATGTTGACAGTATGTAAGTAAAAAGAATTTAAAGAGGAAGAAAATGCAAAATGTGAAGTATATATTAAATATAGGCATAAATGTCATCACCATATATAACTTACACTTTTTGTAATTAGATGTCTCCCAATCTGATGATATGCTTTAAAATAAACATGTAATTGACTATTTCAAAAGGAAATCTGTTTACAGCTGTTTATGAGACAACTAAGATAATGGATATAGAATTTTATTCATTTTTATTCATCTTTTCCTTTGGCATTCTTCAATTGACCACAAATATTTTTAAATCTATTATATGCCTTTTTTCTGCTATGGGGTACATAATGGTGAGCAAGGGAACTGTCCCCCTACCTTCAAGAGATTTGCAATCCAGTGTATCTCTGCCAATGATATTATCAGTTGTCCTTATTAATATTTATTAATCACCTAGTGTCAGACACAATCTATGTGCTGGGAGTGTAAGGATAAACTAGATCATAGGCTTGTGAGGGAGACTGATGTGGGTATTGCCATTTCTGGCAATGGGATGAGTAAACTAAGCATCGCAAGACAAGAATGGAAGGAACGAATCACTTTACTTGGAACAGTGGGTGGAAGATTGCTTTGGAAAAAGACTTCTTAGAGTGACTATATTTTGAATTAAAAGGGAGGATATGGGCTCTAAGTAGAATGAACAGCTTGGGCCAGTCTGGCTGGCAGGCCACCTTCAGGTGAGGACAGTATCAGGAGAATGGTTGAAAGATGAGTCAACACCAGAACGTAATTATTGTAGATTTATACTAAGGAATTTGTTGTTGCTCCTGGATGATGGCAAATGAGATGTGGGCATCCCAGGTTTTTAAACAAAGTGATGACATAATCACAGGATATGCAATGACAAGGCAGAGGGTGAATTAGAAGAGTGATTGGGGATAATAGCTAATGTTGATTGTGTCTGTACTTGGTGTTGGATTTGTTGTAAACTTGTAAGTTTTTTAAATTTTTTACAAATATCTTTTGTTTTTTTGTAATTTATTTATTGTAAATATCTTATTAAATGCTCATGACAAACCCATGAGTTGGGGGCTGTTATAATCACACACACACACTCACACACACATATTATATTATTTTATATATATTTTTGCATGCCTTTCCCCCCTGCTAAACTGTGACCTCCTCATGACAGAGGCTCAGTTTCATTATCTTTGAATCCCAAGTGTTATCTAGCACCCAGAATATGATTGTACAAAGGAGGTATTTGTTGAGTAGGCACAAGATGAGAAAGGCAAAAAAGCAATGGCATTTTACAATTAGAGGTAACTGGCTAAGTTCTGTGCTGCAAGGAAAGCTTTTAAGCCAGATCTGTAAACACTAAATATAAAATAAATCAAGTAAATTGGGCCTGGCCCCATAATTCTCTATACAGGGCTGTACATGTCGACTTTAATTCTCACATGGAATGATGGATATTCCTTATTTCTTGCTTCTTAGAGTTGTACTTTTGCCAACAAGACTTGTAGTAATCTTTCCATAGAATAAAATAGGACATGATGATTACTGCTTTAGTAATTTAGCTATTATTCTCAATTTTCTATGTGTCAATTTAAAAATGATCACTGGTGTCAGTATATGGTTAGCAGCCAAAAATCTTATTTAATATATCAGAGGCATGACTTTTCAGAGTTAGGGGATTGGAAATTCTTTTCTCCTTAATTGTTAGTATCTACTTTTGAGAGTAAGCAATTAAGAGAAAGCAGATATATCTGTTAATTTGCACAAGTTAGTAGCACTTGGAAATAGCGGATGGGGGCTAGGCCTTTTGTATTTTGGAATAAAGAAAGGTTTGAGGGTTGATCTTGAATTGTCATCTGTCCATGCTGCAGAAGAGAAATTGGATGTCACTCTATGTGCTTTGAGATTTACCCATTTTTGGTCATGGTTTTTCTCCTGCTCCATTTTCAGGGTGTGAATATAAGTGGGGGCCAGAAGCATCGAGTGAGTCTGGCCAGAGCTGTGTATAGCAGGGCTGACATCTACCTCCTGGATGATCCCTTTTCTGCAGTTGATGTCCATATTGGAAAGCAACTTTTTGAAAAAGTGATTGGGTCCTCGGGTATTTTGAAAAACAAGGTAGCCATAGTGTCATTTATGCTTTGAGAGGATAAAGGGAAGATAATCTGCATCGCAGTGTGCCTAAAATTCCAGTATTTTGTTCATTTGTTGAAGCAAAGTAGTCAAATTTTATGTGAAAGGGGGGTATTACATTAATCTTTTTACAGACAAATTTTCATGAATATTTTTTAAAGTTTTATTTACAAGTTTACTGTGACAACAATTTATGTGATTGTTACTTTATAGACTGATACCACACTCTAAAGGGAATTTGTATGTCAAAATGAGTTGTTTTTAGTTTATTTGATTTTTTTGAAAAACGGTATTTTCATACATAGCAATTTCATAGAAAGTATTATTTTACTGACTATTAATTTGTTACTTAAAATTATGGTATTATTAATAGAGCAATAACAATTCTGTTCTCTTGTGAAAGGGCCAAGAAGAAGGGTATTAATATTTACTGAGTACATTCCATGTCTGAAACTAAATTAGTTCATTTAGTTCTTAAACCAAGTCTCTGAATACGTATTAACATTACTCCTGTTTTACCTCTGAAGGAACTTGTAGTTCAAAATAGTTTGATATAGGTTGCTTAGCTTAAGAAGAGCAGAGATTGTAATAACATTTAGAATTGTTGAATTATTATGTTATGCACCAGAAACTAACATAATATTGTGTGTCAACTGTACTTTATTCTTTTTTAATTTTTTAAAAATTGTAAATGTTTATTAGAGAGAGAGAGAGATGGAATGCGAGCTAGGGAAGGGACAGAGAAAGGTGGGGGACAGAGGATCTGAAGGGGAGCTCTGTACTGACACCAGAGAGGCTGATGCGGGGCTCACATACACAAACCTTGAGATCATGACCTGAGCCAAAGGCGATGCTTAACAAACTGAGCCACCCAGGTGCCCTCAACTGTACTTTAACTAAAAAAAAAAAAGAAACAAAACAGATTTTAAAAAGTCTGTCTGACCACAAAGCCATACTCATTCCTTCATAATATGCATTTATGGATTTGTTAATATAAGCACTCTGGAAACATTAAATAAATGTGTAAAATGATAAAGTATATATCTAAGTAAACAATAGATAAATACCTTACTTATCAAAATTAACCCAAGATAAAAACTTATGGTTCAATCCTATGTGTGCGTGTACAGTAATATGGAAAGATTTAAAAATAAATAATATGAATTATGACTGTAATCAAACACTTTATTGTAATCCTATAGGGCCTTTCAAAAACTAAGCCATGTATGACAGATACGAAATTTTTAAATTTGTTATGAAATTGATTCATTTTTAATGAATGAAGAATCCCTGAACCAATGGGTTAAAAACGTTTGCAGTCCAGGGAGCCTGGGTGGCTAGTTGGTTAAGCGTCCGACTTTGGCTCAGGTCTCAGGTCATGATCTTAGGATTCGTGGGTTTGAGCCCCGTGTTGGGCTTTGTGCTGACAGCTCAGAA